TAAAAGATTTGTTTTAGCATTAATTAAATCCCTGGAGTCTACCTAGGCATGCACAGAACACAGGTTTAGGGGAAAGAGTTAGAATAGAGACTTGCATTTAGGTTTCTGTTCAAAACCTTTAACCTTCGTCTCTGAATTTTCCGACCACTTCCTAGACTGCCGTTCCACTCCTCTGTTGCTCTTGGTTCAACCCAGAAGCACTCCGTCTCGTCCTCCTTGAACCTCTCTGTTTATCTCTCAAATTTCCTTCTTTGCCTCTCAATATTCTCTGTTCGTGGTTTATGTCGTAAACCCTAGACAGACATCATATGATAGTATATATATAGACTAATATAAACCCTAGTCCACTTATAATTAGAGACGGCCAACCCTAATTAACCCCAGTCAGCCACCACGCAAAACATAAAAGAAAAATAAAACCTAAATTAAACATTAACCAAACCCTAATGTAAACCAATTAACGTATTTAAATAACTAACCAATTACTTCAATGAAAGAAAATAATAATCATACAATTAAGTCAATTACAGGAAAAAAAAACAAAATACAATTAAATAAACAATTAAATAAAACAATTCATTTAAATAACATAATTCACTATTAATTCAAATAAATAAACAAATAAACAATTAAATAATTAAAAATGCAACTAAATAATTAATTAAAATACTAGGACTATCCTTTTAAAATTAGGTGTATTACACCAGGAAAAAAAAATTTAAAATTTTCTTTTAGGACCTTGGACGTCTTTGAAATATTTGTCGTAGTGCCACATTGGCAGCTCGTATATGTGGCAAGCTGCCATGTTGGCAGCCTACTTTTCGACACATAGGCGACTCATGTGGGGCTGCCAGTGTGGTTATCCTATTCAAGGATTGACTCCTAATCCGATTATCTGACTAACATGTTGTCTGCGATTCCACCTTGTAGAAGTAAATTCCTATATAAAATAGCCCGCTGGGATCTGATCGTCCCTCACCAAGCAGATTTCTTTTAGAACTCTACCATAAATCTCTTCCTTATCTTTTTTCGTTCTTTTTTTATAAATCGAGATGGTTTGAATAAAATTTATTCAAATTATTTCCATCTTCCAGAAAGCCAAGTAGTACCAGTCGTAGTGATGTGGTAAGTTCTATGTCCTTGTTTTCTTCCTTCTTCTATTTAATTCGTTGTTGTTTCTTCCTTCGACTTAGTATACCAAGACCAAAGTTAGAAAATTTTATAGGTCACCGCAAGGCTAGAATCTTACATACAGCAGCGTGTGTTACTGCCAGCATGTTTCACCCAGAAACCAACACTATGTCAGACGAGGAATACCACCAGTTTGATTCGTCTCCGTCAAAGACACATCCGGTACAAGATATAGCAGGCTCCCTTACCCCACACGATTTGGACCAGATCCTGTAATACCCCTAATTTTAAAAGGATAGTCCTAGTATTTTAATTAATTAATTGTTTATTTGAATTAATTGTGAATTATGTTATTTAAATGAATTATTTTATTTAATTGTATTTTATTTTATTTTTCTGTAATTGACTTAATTGTATGATTATTATTTTCTTTTATTGAAGTAATTGGTTAGTTATTTAAATACGTTAATTGGTTTACATTAGGGTTTGGTTAATGTTTAATTTAGGTTTTATTTTTCTTTTATGTTTCACGTGGTGGCCGACTGGGGTTAATTAGGGTTGGCCGTCTCTAATTATAAGTGGACTAGGGTTTATATTAGTCTATATATATACTATCATATGATGTTTGTCTAGGGTTTATGACATAAACCACGAATAGAGAGTATTGAGAGGCAGAGAGGAAAATTTTAGAGATAAACAGAGAGGTTCAAGGAGGACGGGACGGAGTGCTTGTGGGTTGAACCAAGAGCAACAGAGGAGTGGAACGGCAATCTAGGAAGTGGTCAGAAAATTCAGAGACGGAGGTTTAAGGTTTTGAACGGAAACCTAAAGGCAAGTCTCTAGTCTAACTCTTTCCCCTAAACCTGTGTTCTGTGCATGCCTAGGTAGACTCCAGGGATTTAATTAATGCTAAAATAGATCTTTTATGCATGTTTAAACTATATCTAATCTCGTTGAATCAAACTAATTTACGAATTCTTAAAGTTCTTACCTGAATCTTACTTTCTTTAAGTTTAAGTTTGGTTTAATTGATATTGTTGATGCATGTCGATGTCTTATAAATATTCTGGGACATTGATTAAACACTGGAACAAGTGTTAAGAGAATTACAGAGGTCTTGGGTATCGCCGGAGGCGAGGAAGACGAAGCAGAAAAGGCTGACGGCTTCAGGAAGTGAAAGAGAAGGCTCCTAAAAGGAGGGAGCCAGCTCCCTCATCAATGGAGCTGGCTCCAAGGAGTGTGGAGCCAGCTCCTAGCTCCATATAGCCGGCTCCCATGTTAATGGAGCAAGCTTTCAATTTGTGAGAGCCTGCTCTAGCCCAGAATTAGGTATTAAACTGTTTTAGGCTGCGTTTGGACTGTACAAGGTATTTCTACTTCATTTAAGCTGCTTTAAATGATGTATATGATTGTCATAGACCTGTAAAAATATAGGAAAATAATAATTCATAAATGGATTAAGGAATGGATAGTGTGAACTTAGGGAAAAATCCTACATGTTGCACTTTGGTTGTTAATCAACTTACATACTAGAACTTGTAGATTCTTTTATATATAATTTAATACTGTTTAATCATATTTAAACAGAACTATAAGTGTAGTGAATTACTTGCAATTAACTATGCTTGGTTTGGAATAAATTGGTATTTAACTTGTTTTTAATTGTATCAAGTTATGAACGATTTGGATGATTTAAATGCTTGAATTTATGTTAGTCATTTAAATAGTTGGAACATGATTTTTGGGTCCTATAATGAATACCTAATATCGTTATATATGTATTAATTTATATTGATGCATATTTTGGAGAATAGTTGATGAATACCTAGTGTTATTTTATAAATTATGCTAATTAGAGAATTGTATGCATCGGTATGAGACGGTGGCATACTAGGGATGGATTAGTTCAAACCCTAAGTCTTACCTATTCTGGATTGAGGTATGGATTAACCATAAGGTTAAGTCTTACTCATATTTGTGTCATGGCAACAAATAATTGAATGACCTACTTTGGTTTCTGAATGAATTGTTATACATATATCAGGGCACTATACCAGATGGATGATATTTTGTATTAGGACTTATATGCTTATGTTATGGTGCCATGGTATGAGCTTGAGTCTCAGGACCATGGTTAGGGTGCGTATATCACCTAGGATGGATAAATGGACATAGGTGTTGTTCCCTGGTAGGTCTAGGTACACATGACTACGGTATGTGCGATTTGCATGATATCTCTACTCAGGCTGAGACTGACCTATTGGACTAGTGAGCGTCCTATAGTGTGTATTTATACATATATGGACTATTCTATTTATTGTTGAGCTATCTAGGATGTATCTGCGTATCGGGTTTCTGTATAGATCGTAGTAGGATAGGACTTGCATGTGGGCTTGACCCACTCTCTTATTTTTCAGGTATTCGTCAATTCCAAGGTTAGAGCTTAGTCGTGCAGAGTAGATACAGACATTCATTCCTCCGATTATGTAGGATTACTTTCCATGTTTAGCTATATTTTTGGTTTCAGTTGTTTCCTTTCCAGTTTGTGATTTTATTAGGGGTCCACTCGATGGATTCCCGAGTTGTTAAATTAATGGAGTTATTTTGGATTATTGGATTTTAACAATAGTAACTTTTGAGGATTTTATAATTAGAATTCTTTTCAGCTTATTATTTTATTCTTATTTCACTTTTGTATTCTGTACTTATTTATATATTAATTGTTTAGTATCCCTCGGATCTGTGCTCGGACTTGGTCACCCGTGACTCTAAAATCGAGGGGTATTACACCTGGGCTTGGGTTGAAGATTTTTTATATGGGCCTAACCCGAGATGAGTGCCAAGCCTGCCTAACCCACTCGAGTTGCAGCCCTATTTATGGCACTTTTGAGTAAATATTACCGACTATACTATGTTATTGGTATGTTCAACAAATAAAAATCGTATGCGGAGCTCACCCAATATCTTTTTGTTAATTAGAAAATTAAGTTTTTATTTTATTTACAAAAAATAATAAATTATCCGAATAAAGGAAAAGGGCAACGATTTAATTAGATGATTTGATGTATTGATGTGGAGGCTACATTCGATTTTCCTGAAGGCCACCCTAATAAAAAATGATAAATTATCCGAATAAAGAAAAAGGGCAACAACTTAATTAGAAGCTTTGGATGTATTGATGTGGAGGCTACATTCAATTTTCCTGGAGACTACTCTAATAAAAAATGATAAATTCTATTTACGTTCAAAGACTAATATGTATTTATGTATATATTTTTGATTAAGTAGAATATCAATGTATTAAATTTATTTTATTTTATTTTAAAAATTAATGTGATTCTATACTATGTCATTTACCAATCAATTGAATTTTTAACATGTGAAGTGACATTCATGCAAATGGATGCATATTTTGCACTAATTCCGATGTCATCATTTTACCCGTAGCTTTTTGAATAGGTGTGTCGTATTTTAAAATGAAAACTTAAGTCACATAATTTTTTTTAATAAGTGTTGATCTCATCGAGTGCGCTTCCGTTCTGCACATATTTTCACTCAAATTTTTATTATTTATGATATATTTTTATCGCTCTTAAACTTTTATTATTTATGACATAATTTTATGATTCTCTTACTCTTCCTTCCCAAGAATATATATATATATACACAATAGAGAATACCACGTGATTTGAGTTTATCTCTATATCTTGGTTTAAAAAAAAATATAAAAAATGAAGTGTTTATATCTATATCTGCTATTTAATGGGCCTCAAGCCGCGACCGGGGCGCCGTTGGGGGCAAACGCAGATGGTGGTGGGGAAGTAAAGGGTACTAACATCTCTCTCTTTTCTCTCTCCTCTTTTCTCTCTCCTGTATTTATGATTGTCTCGCCAAGTCGCTCTCAGTTTACTCTTCTGTTCCTCTCTACTCTTTTTCCATAATTTCAATGCTCTCTCTGCATCTCTCTTCACTTTCCTTGCACAGTGTTTGGAATCGTGGAATTTCATGGCAATTGGATTTTAAAAAGAATTTAATGATGGGATTTTTTTTCTCTACTTTCATTATCGGCTCATTTTTAAAAGCTTTTGAGCACTCTCTCTCTCATGTGTTGCTTCGAATTATTATCTTCTTGTATTCACGCACGAACGGCTCAATCAATACTTGGAGTCTTGTGATTTTGTAAATTTAGGGTTTGTGCACTTTGTAATTGTATCTTGTGTTACCGTTAGTGTTACATTTTGTAATTGTCAGCTCAGTTTTGAGATATATATATATATATATATATGTTGTCTCAGGTGTGATATACGATCAGCTTCCAACACTCGTGTTTGCACTACAGCGAATTTATTTGATTTTGGAGTTGTCTTCCCGAGGGTGTCTGCTGCTCACATTTTGGATTTTGCATCTACACCATTTATTTATTTATTTATTTTTTGGTTTGTTGCAGAATATTACATATCTTGTTTTGACTTCTCTCAATTTTGTGGTGGAGCTTGGATCTGTGTTAATTACGGCAAACTAAACCACATATTTAACTAATTTATTTATTTTACTTGTTGACATTTTTGGTGTCTATTGTGTATGCGTGTCCGCGGGTCTGGTTGGTTCTGGATTACTTTTAGAATTTTGAAGTCAGTGATATGCCAAGAAAATGGTTCCTTTTTTTAATTTTTTTTTATTTTATGGAATGGGTTTTATGCTGCTTTGGGGGGTCAATCATTAGCTTGGTTAAAGTGATAATGACTTGTTGAATTGCTCTTTGAAATAAATTAAATCATGCCATCATTAAATACTTTTTTTTCTTCTCATTTATAGCTTTTTTCCGGTTTAGATGTCTTTTGGAATTTTAGAAGGGACTTCTATTCTTTTTCCTAGTGTCTAATTTTCCCCAATTTATGCATTCAACTGATAATTCTACTAATTACTGATTGAATAATTAATTCAACTGGTATGTAATTTGGTACACATCTCTATTAAATTATGGGTGTTTCTGTTACATGTCACAAAGAAAGTTCCCCGAATTTAATTATTATTGGCTTAGTGTTGGTAATTATTTAAATTTGTTTTGGCTTTAGTAAATTACTCACTTTTTGGTTGAATTTAAGACATGAAGCCTTATTTTTTATTTATTTATTTATTTATTTTTTTATCTCTGCATTTCATATTTGTTTCTCCATTTCTTTTCAGGATATTGCATTTCTGTTTGTATGATTCTCAGCTGTTGGTTTGAAATTGGGGTGGACCAGAGTAATCGGGATGAGTCACATGACAAGTGACAGTGAAGATGAGGTGTTCTCCAAGGATCAAACTGGTTCACCTTTAATTGATGAAGGTAACACTACGAGCGGAGGAGTTGTTGTGAAGAAAGGGCCGTGGACATCTGCAGAAGATGCAATTCTGATGGACTATGTCAAGAAGCATGGAGAGGGGAAATGGAATGCTATTCGGAAGCATTCAGGACTGTTCCGTTGTGGGAAAAGCTGCCGCCTTCGATGGGCGAATCACCTGAGACCAAACTTAAAGAAGGGGGCATTCACTGCGGAGGAAGAACGGTTGATCATTGAACTCCATGCAAAGATGGGAAATAAATGGGCACGAATGGCTGCACATGTGAGTCTATAGTTATTTCTATTATGTGTATATGATATTATCTTCCTTTTTTTTTTTTTTTTTTTTCATTTTTATTTATTTTTTTGGTGCATTTAAATATTTGTTTTAAAAAAAGAGAAACAGCATATAATTTTTTTTGTAGTTTCTAAAAATACAGGATCACTAGTTATCTATCAAAAAAAAAAAAAAAAAACCGGGATCACTAGTTATTGTAATTAAAAATAAATAAATAAATGCTGTGGTTTTCTTTGATAGTTAAAAGAGTGAAAAGTTTACATGCTGTGTTACGTATGTTTAACTTAAAACTGCTCCTCTAGATTTCTTTGTGCAGTTCTAATATAATTTTGTAAGTTTTGCTATTGTTTGGTTTTGGTCTGTATTGAATGTAAGGTGTGATCTGATTAAACTTAACTGAAATGAATCTGAATGGAATACTATTGTACGATACAAAAGTGTATTGAGTTCAAAGTTCTCACTTGTCACCAAAAGCACTGACATTTTGGATCTTCTTGTTTATCTTGCTGGGAATCTTGGAACTTCCAATGTTGAGCTCAAAGATGGAGGGTGAATAAATGGTCAATAATCTGCAAAGTATCATCCATCCGTGGTTGATCACAGACACAGACTCATTGTTGTAGGGTTATAACCCTAAGCCCGAGGATATCCTGAGAAGCTAGTAGGCTGATTGGTTCTAGTGTTGTACCTTTGTGCATAGTACCCATAAGGCATCTAAGTCTGAGGAGATACCAAGGGTGTGAGTGTCCAAAGTTATAGCCATAACCATTATCATACTCGTAACCACACCCCTGAAGTCGAGGAGGTGGTGGCATATTGCAGCTTTGGTCAGTACTCGCATACATATCTGATGACAATAAAAGGGCTAGCCTAGTGCACGAGGCTTTTGCTAATGGGGGTTCTAGTAAGGGTTAGATGTGTGCAGTCTTACATTTGCATGCAGAGATGTTTTTTCTTGTTTAGAACCTGAGATCTCCAGGTCACAATTAAGCACCTTCACTTTTGCGTTAAGACGATCACACTGTCTCTGATTCCTTTAAGAATATGTAGCAGTGACAGTACTAGGACCTGCTTCTCCTGAATGTCTAGTAAGAAACAGTGATGGTTGATCATCCTCCTTACCTGCATTTCTCTTATTCATATCTTGCTCCATATACGGAGTAATCACCCACATATTGCTCAGGCTCAGGCTGCTTAGAAGAAGGCACATCATCATCACCATAACCATACCTCCTACTCCTACTCCTACTCCTACTCCTACTCCTCCAGCATCGGTATCAATACCACTATTATTGACACCACCATCATCATCGTCATTACTATTGCTCATTGCTACAAAGGAGAAAATACTGTCATCATTACCACGAGCACAAGAAGAGGGACCTCTAGCATCCCTAGCCAAATCACCAATCATTCAAGTAAGATACTAAGATCATCACTACCAGAGTCAAGCAATGGATTTTCCGCCTTCTCTAATCACGGGGTAAGGATATTATCCTCCTCAAATAAGTAATCTAGGTTGATGGGGCTATATTTCCTTTCAATCTCCCTCATAGTACTACAGATAAAAAGCCTAACCTTCAGTCTTGTATTCTAGTGACGGTACACGAATTGTTGTAAGTCTCTCAAACTTGGTCAGTTCTTCGTCTTGGTGTGGATGAGGTTGAATGTGCTCCAGTTCCGCTCACAATTAGATGACGACATCGTCTCACTGCTATCTTCCGTAATTCTGGAGAACCAGTTACAAAAGCTATCATTTAGCTGCAAAGTTTTAACACAACAATTAACTTCGATTAAAAATTTAATAGTTAAGAGTTAAGGCGTAAGACAATTGTTGAACTGAAAATGTGTGGAATGTAATATTCTTCACCTGGACACAAGTAAACAAGTGATTGCATGTAGTTCGTCTTGGTGTGGATGAGGTTGAATGTGCTCCAGTTATGCTCACAATTAGATGACGACGTCGTCTTACTGCTGTCTTCCGTAATTCTGGAGAACCAGTTACAAAAGCTATCATTTAGTTGCAAAGTTTTAACACAACAATTAACTTCGATTAAAAATTTAATAGTTAAAGAGTTAAGGAGTAAGACAATTGTTGAACTGAAAATGTGTGGAATGTAATATTATTCACCAGGACACAAGTAAGTAAACAAGTGATTGCATGTAGTGTGGTAGGAGCGTCAAAATTCTATTTTGTCCTGAAATAGTATAAGCTGCAAGAAATAGGTATTCGTACAAAATAATTAATTATACTTGCTATTTATTAGTTGCTTTTCTAAAAACTGTAAAGCACAAACTATTTAGTTTAGTCTTCTTTCCATACTGGGCTCTAATTTTGTTGCCCTCCATTGTTTTTGAGACCACTTCACTTGGTGGTTGCTTGCTATTGTATCGATATTGTAGGTTAAGAAAATAACCTGATGGAAACAAAATTCGTCAGCTTTGTAGAAAACAAAAAATTCCATAGATCAGAATCTTCTTAAGTTAGTAAATCGTTTTAATTGAAGTTATAACTTTTACATGCTGGCTACATGCTAGTCATAATGAAGCGTGTGTGTCCACCAGTTGTCAAGTATCTTCTAGTGATCCTTCTAATATTGGCAATCCTCTTTGATTTGCACCTTAGCAGGATCCATGTCCTCATAAGTGTATCCCATAGTGGGTTTCACATCCCCATTGACCATCCTCAGGACTTTGATCAATGACTCTTTCATTATCATAATTTCATTGTTTCTCTTACAAAATCCTTTCCAATGATAATATGCTTCAAAGCAAATGCAGGACTGCTCTTTAACTTCCACCACCTAGATTTTTTTTTTTTATAATTTTATAATTTTTTTTAATTTATTTTTCATAAGATTAGTAACTAGAGAAAAAATAGTAAAAACGTAAAATATAGAACCTTTCCATACATAATGAATAAGATAAATGGATGATTGTCCATACCTAAGGTTTGTTCATGTGACGTAAACATTGTCCTTAAGGCTTGTTTGTACCCGACAATGCTTTGGAGGGCAATAAAATTTGTGGGAAAAGCAAAGCAACTCCCTGTCACCAATAAATGTCCTCATAAAATTATGGACCCACTCATGATTATAAATAAAGCTTGTGATTTGCATTGCCTGCTCAAAACATTGGCGAAATTGCTTTTGTTTGTCATATCTTGTAACATGAGATCAATGGCATGAGCTGCACAACCTGTTCAATATGAACGCCTTCTCTTCCTCATCAAACTTCTCCCTGCAGCTTTTATTGTACTCTCATCATCTGTTATAATTTGTACCACTTATTGTTTGCCAATCTCATAGACAACAGTGTTAATAACTAGTAGCAAAACTTAGTGGTCCTATTTTAATGTATTATTACAATAAAGGATGAAATTTATGATATGTCTTGGTTTTTCCACCCATCACACATCACGGTAATACATCTCTCTTCAAAGGAAGGCTTAAAATCATTATCCTGTTTCTTCATCTTCTTATATGCCTTAGGCAAGTATTTTCAACAAATGACTTAGCAATGGGAGATTTCACCTTAAGGCCATACCCAACAAGGACATCAAACATAAACCTCAATATCACCTCTGCATCTACATTAACCTATTACTCCCACTGCCACTCCATGTCCCAGGAGTCCCACTCCCACTCCCACCAGATTCATGTGCAAGACGTGATGATTTACTACTAATGCTAAATAAACTTGCAATCCCCCTTCCCAGGCTACCCATACCATCACTACGACCACCAATGCTACTACCTACTCCAACCTCATGGAGAGTAAAACCCATCCCATGTTGTTGTCTCCAATGCACTCTTTGGACCTTAAACTCTCCATGAGCCTTATTAATCTCCACATTATCATCTAAATCCTTTCCCAGATCAACAAACTGGTCATGCCCCTGATCTTAGTTCTCCCTAGGTATGTGCCTGTACTTCTTTCTCCTTTGTTTATCTTTCCTTCCTTCCATTCCCTCCTTTGCATGTTTCATCATTTGTTCTCTGACATGTCCACTGGTGGACATCCTGATCTTGCTTCCTTCCCTTTCTTATGAGCCAAATGTTCTTTAACTCTTGTAATCTTGTTGTTAACTTTACTGCAAAAGATGCATCTTTCTTTTATTCTATCATTATCTAGAATGGATTTTGTAGGATTCCCAAGAAATTCTTTGATTTCTTCCATAAGGAGATGATTACCTGCTTTTAACTTTCCCTGAATAGCTTAGCACCAAACTTCCACCCAATATCACCACTCATGCCACTCCTAGTCCCACACTCAACTACCATGGTTTCTTGAAGGCCCAGCAACACCGTTACCACCCTCTCTAACTTCTCTGGATCGTGACATTTTTTAAGTTCTGCAAAATATCACAAATCTTTTATCAAATTTTTGTAACACTCAATTGAATGATATGTGGGTTGCCTCCCCTTTTGAGCACCTTCAATGAATACTTTTCTCTTTTTTTGATAAGTAAAAATATATTAGAAAAACGTTCAAAAGGGGAACGCATCCCTAATACAAGAGAAAAGATCTAAGGACCAATAGAATTCAAGAGATCAAAGAAATCATCAATCGAGGAGCATGTACTTCCTCTAACATAAAAGAATAAAGAACGAAGAATATGAATTTTTAAATTAGCTAAGGACGATTCTTTTCCTTCAAAGGATCTGTTATTTCTCTCACGCCACAAACACCACCAGACACAATGAGGAACAATCTTCCAATAAGCACGAGCTTGTTTCTTAACAGGACAGCTTTTCCAAGCGTTAATCAACTGAGAGGAGTGCTTAGGCATTACCCAAAAAATGCCGAAAATGCTGAAAATAAAACTTCAACAACCAAACGCCACAGGACAATGCAAAAGAATATGATCCACGGATTCACTATCGTCTTTGCATAAACAACACCAATTAACAATGATGTTACCTCTCTTTCTCAAATTGTCCAAAGTCAAAATCTTCCCCAATGTAGCTGTCCAAGCGAAGAACGCGATTCGAAGAGGGGCTTTAGAGCACCACACGGACTTCCAAGGAAACTCGGAACCAACGAAATTGGATAAATGAATAAACATAGATCGGACATCATACCGACCATGAGCCAAAGGAACCCACAAAATATCATCACACCCTCTGCCAATATCCTTCTGCCTATACAAAATATCCAAAAAAGGCAGAAACTTCCTCCATTTCCCAATCCTGAAAAGACCGCCTAAACCGCACATCCCACGTAACTCCATTGTTATCAAGATGATAACAATCAATCACGAAAACATGCTTATTAGTTGCAATGCTATAAAGCCTAGGAAATGAGTGTGAAAGCAACTGGTCGCCACACCAAAGATCCTCCCAAAAACGAACATGCCTGCCATTACGAACTTTGAATCTAATAAGAGTAGAGAAAACATCCCATCCCTTCCGAATAAATTTCCACAAACCAACGCCTCCCGTAATAGTAACTGGAAGAGATGACCAACCCCCACTCCCCTCACCAAAACGACACGAGACAACTCTTCTCCACTGACGATGTCGTTCCCTTCCAAATCGCCATAACCACTTTCCTAAGAGAGCACGATTAAAAGGAACAATTTTTCGAATGCCTAACCCTCCGAATCTCAATGGTTGGCAAACTTGATCCCAATTAACAAGATGATACTTAAACTCCTCTCCCCTTCCACCCCACAGAAAATCCCTCTGAATTTTTTCAATTCTATCAGCAACAGAACATGGAATTTGAAACAAAGACAAAAAATAGGTAGGAAGGGATGAAAGAGTACTCTTTATAAGTGTGACTTTCCCACCCTTAGATAGATACTGCTTTTTCCATCCTGCTAATCTTTTCTCATATCTATTAATCACTGAGTCCCAATTCCCAACCAGAGTAGAAGAAACTCCCAAAGGCAATCCTAAATAAGGAAGAGGAAAAGAACCAACTCCGCACCCTAAAACAGCAGCTAAGGAGGAAATATCTGGAACATCCCCCACTGGAACAAGCACACTCTTTCCGACATTAATCTTAAGCCCAGAAATTGCTTGGAAGCAAGCAAGAGTGCACCTCAGATATCTGAGTTGAGAAATATCAGCATCACAAAATACCAAAGTATCATCAACAAATAAAAGATGGGAAATCTGGATCTGATGATCAACATCTCTGCCAACTCTGAACCCCCTAATGTAACCCAAATCTTCCGCTTTTCTCATTAATCTAGTCAGACCTTCCATAACGATGAGAAAAAGAAAAGAAGATAATGGATCACCTTGTCGCAGACCACGTGAGCTAGCAAAAAAACCCGCAGGAGAGCCATTCACAAGAACAGAAAACATAATTGATGAGATACAAGTGTCAATCCATTTTATCCATCTATCACCAAATCCCATCCTCCGAAGAAGATACAAAACAAACTTCCAATTAACATGATCATAAGCTTTCTCGATATCAAGCTTACACAAAACGCCAGGAACCCCGCTTCTTAATCTAGAGTCAACACATTCCCCAGCAATAAGAACAGAATCCAAAATCTGCCTTCCACCAACAAAAGCGTTCTGCGATTCTGAGATAAGACCATCCAACACTTTACTCATCCTGGAAACAAGAACCTTGGCAATAAGCTTATACATACATCCGATTAAGCTAATTGGCCGAAAATCCTTGATATCAGATGCACCGCCCTTTTTAGGGATGAGAGCAATAAAAGATGCATTCAAAGATTTTTCAAATGTGCCATGAGAATAAAAATCCTGAAAAGTACTCATCACCTCCTCTCGCACCACCTCCCAACTCTCCTTAAAAAAGCGCATAGTAAATCCGTCTGGCCCTGGTGCTTTGTCCCCGTTGCAATTAGAAAGTGCCTTAAGCACTTCCTCTTCCGTGAATGGAATCTCAATACTATCCCTATCCATCGCAGAAATAGTATTAAATGGAAGACCATCTAGAGTAGGTCTTCGATCCAAAGTTTCAGTGTAAAGCTGCTGGTAAAAAGAAGCAATTCCTCCGCGCACATCTTCTTCTCTCCACAAATCAAAACCATTAACCCGAATACTTCCGATATGATTACACCTTCTGTGAGCATTGGCCAGTCTATGAAAGAATTTTGTATTCCGATTACCATCTTTTAACCACAAAGCCCGAGACTTTTGACGCCACGAAATCTCCTCCATATGAGCAATCTCAGCAAAAACCACTTGACAAGAGGCTCTTTGAGAGCGTAAAGACTCCCTACTCTGTCCCACCTCAGCTAAACGATCAAGCTCAGCAATATCAGCAAGGGCTCTATTCTTTTTCCATTCAAGATTCCCAAAAACTTCTTTATTCCATCTCTTAAGCTCAGTTTTAAGAAACTGAAGCTTTCTAGCTAACACAAAACTAGCAGAGCCTGTGAAAGACCCTTTTTGCCACCAAGACTGAACCTTCCCTTGAAAGTCTTCAGATCTAAGCCACATGTTTTCGAATCTGAAAGGAGTGCGTCTAGACCTCAAACCACCACAATCCAAAACAAGAGGTACATGATCAGATGTGACTCTAACCAACACAGCCTGAGAGACATCCGGGAAATGCTCTTCCCAAGCCCCAGAAATCAGGAAACGATCCAATCGAGAAAAAGTAACCGGTTCCCTACCATTAGACCAAGTAAAAGCCGCTCCTTCCAACGGAAGATCGATAAGAAAATTATTGTCAATAAATTCTGAAAACATGGTCATTTCTGAAGACCACCTACCTCCTGTGGATCTCTCAAATGGGGATCTAACAGAGTTAAAATCCCCACCTAAGCACCAAGGCAATGACCATAAGTCCTTAACAAAGCAAAGCTCTTCCCACAGGACTGGTTTATCACTATCAGTAACAGGCCCATACACACCTGAAAACGTCCATTTGAAATTGTCTTCTTCCATCTGAAACATGCATGACACCGAGAAAATACCCTTCCAACAGTACATTTAAAAGTTTGTATAAAATTATGAATCATAAGATATAACATGTTGATGATAAATAAAATTTCATTTAAAAGTTTTCATGTGAAAAATATACTTCTTTGAGAAAAGTACCAAAAATTTGGAAAAAGGTACAAGTTAGATCTAAGTTAAAATTTGCAACCAAGCTCAAGAATTTTTTTTTTTAAACTCACCGATTAATTTGAAGTTGGGAAGTGCAAAATTGCAACATAATTGGTTTGTAACTTTGAAAATAGTTCTCAAGAACTTAGAAAACAGAAAATTTCAGCCTATAAAAGACAGTTCTCAAAAACTTAGAAAACAGAAAACTGTAAAAGATAGTTCTCTGAAAACAAGTCTTTTTATAATTGAGTTTTTAGAAAATAGTTTCTAGAAATCTAAACCAAGTAGAGTTTTGTACAGCTTTCTGATTTTCAGTTTTCTAAGCAGGTTAAGTTTCTTGAGTTTTGTAAGCAAGATTTGGCTGCAAGAAATGATGAAATCAAGTGGCTTAGGGATTGTTTTGAGTGAAAAAAGTGTGAAAGGGAAGAAAAAACCCTTTATAGTGATCTGGGCGCCTTAGAAATCAGGAACAGTCAAAGCAGCCGATGCATTGGTCCCAAACCGGGTGAATTGCCATTGAACCAGATTGAGTAAAAGTGAACTGGCTGATTTGCGACCAAATTGAGCGGTTCCATTCAGAGAATCGGCTGTTATTTGCTCAGACAGTCTGAGTTGCTTGAGTGTTGACTGGTTTGCTGGAGAACCGGCTGAGTCGCACGTGAATTTCAGTCTCACCAGGGTATCACCTCGGACCAATTCCGCTGCTACTCGGCCAAGTTGCAGGGAATCGGCTTAGTCTTTGAACTATATCCGACTCTCAATAGTGTGGAAAGGTTTTGTTGAGAGAATTTCTACATTATCTGTCAGAAGTAATTTGCAATATATGTTTGAAGTTGGGGACTGATTATGTCCGTCTTTTACTTTTTATCTAAAGAAGATAAAGTATTATGTAAATTTAAAAAACAAGAAACTAATTCTTCTTCACTAATGGAAATGCTCAAGGGGCGAAAGGTGTGCACATGCCATGCCTGTGCTTCTGTTAGAGGTAAACTTTGATAAACTAGAAGCATTTATATTGCATCTAGAACTTTGGATTGTATATGTGCATGCCACAAGAAGTCTGTTTAGTGCAGTTGGATGTGTTGCTTATGTGTAAATTGCTACCAACTTAGTGAAGATGATTATTTTTTTTTTTTTTTTTTTTTCCTTGCCATTTTCAGCTGCCTGGACGGACGGATAATGAGATAAAGAACTATTGGAATACTCGAATCAAGAGGCGTCAACGTGCTGGATTACCTCTTTATCCTCCTGAAGTGTGCTTGCAAGCATTGCAAGAGAATCAAAATGCTAGTGAAAATAAAGCACACAATGTTCTCTTGCAAACTTGTGATTATGAGATTCCTGATGTCACATTTGTGTCATGTGACAGTTTAAAGTCTAATCAGGGAGTTTTTCCATATATCCTAGAACATCCTGATGTTTCAGCTAGTAGCATGCTGATGAAAGGTTTTTGTTCTTCACAATATTATTGTTTTTTGTCCCCAAACGCTCATCGCCATAAGATTCTTCGAGAATCAGCAGCTTCATTTTCTGAGTATGATGGTAGTGTCAGAAACGATCCCCCACCATTTCACCAAACTCAGGATGATGGTTCTTATAATAAAATTTCTCAATCCTTTGCTTCCTCTTTTCCATATGATCCTCACCCTATCATCAAGAACATCTTGCCTTTTGGTGTAAACCAGGGCAACCATTCCCTTTTGAATGGAAATTTCTCTGCTTCTAAGCCCGCTTCCAGAGCTGTGAAGTTTGAGCTCCCTTCACTCCAATATCCAGAAACTGAGTTAGGTGGCTGGGATTCATCTTGTCCCCCACCTTTACTTGAATCAGTGGACTTCATTCGGTCTCACCCACCATCTGGGGCATTCCACTATGATTCTCTATCACCACAGAACAGTGGCCTATTAGATGCTTTACTTCACGAGGCAAAGACTCTTTGCAATTCAAAGAATCAATTGTCAGACAAGAGTTCAAATTCTGGTACTGTCACTCGAGGCGATATATCAGACAGTTCTGCCCTAAATACGTGCAAGATAAAATGGGAACACTTTGGTGACCCCATATCGCCACTGGGTAACTCTGCAGCTTCAATTTTCAGTGAGTGCACTCCTGTAAGTGCCAGTGGAAGTTCGATGGAGGAAAAGCAACCTGCTAAAATCTTTCATGGTAAGAATATTTATCTCATGCAATTTTATGTTCAAGATTTATTGTCGGAGCATCATAGCATAAAATCTTAACCATTCCCAAAAATATCAAACTTATCACTAATAAAAATGGATGTCAAATTCTATGTTCTAGATTGTACTTGCGTATCAACATTTACTGTTGGAAACATCCAAAAAAAAGGTTCTTAAAATGTTCCCAGGTCAGATTTATCATAACTCTATAAAACAATTGAAACACAGAACTATTTATGAATTCCTGATTATTCTATAAAATATCTCCATTTGTTCGCAAAGTCCCCAAAGTAGTCAGCATATTTTAGCATATAAATATTTCGCTTAGTATGTAATGCTTTTCATTTTATATTTCATTTTCCATTTATGTATCAAAGACCAGAGTAAATCCAGCACCCAGATTTTGTCACAAAAAATATTTAGTTTCTTTTATGAATGTTCGATTTCATTGCAGGAAGCGATGTAAAGCCCGAATCTGTTGACCAGCCTTGGACACTGGATGGAGTGAAAAAAGAAACTTCTACTCAATGGGATTTTTCCAAGCCTGATGCTATACTTGGTTCATGTTGGCTCGAGCGAAGTGTTGTATGCGCTGCCAAGGATCAAAGCATCAGGATTGATGCCATAGCGGCACTTCTTGGTGATGATTTAGCTAATGACTACAAGAACTTGGCTGCTGGAACGACGTCGAGTCTAGGATGGGGTTCATATGCCTCGGAATAACGTGCCTGCTGCCTGGGGAATGTCTGTACTTCCTTAAGCATGCCTCGTCAAATAAGTCACGACATCCTTAGAACCCTACTTGTGTTTTTTGTTTAAAATTTGTTGTCTGAAGTTCATCTATGGTGAGAGTTGTGCTATATTTTGTTGCTTTGCGGATAGGTGCTGTGCAATGTATGCAAGCATAATACTTCATGAGGTATACAAAAGCATCCATACTTTTGTTATAATTGTAGAATAAGTATGCCATTTTGATGCGGTCACTTGTTGATTTAATTGTTTTTGGTTATTTGAAGAATATGATTTCCACACTTGGATTGGCTTGCATTGTATATATATATATATATATATATATATATATATATATATTTTAGTAATTAGGACTCAGGCATTCACTCTGTTCCCTTTGGGAAGGAATTATCCCATTCACTTTGGGGGGTAGAAGTTGAATTGAAAAATATTTAGATTAAAACTTTAATTAGTTTTTTTTTTCAATTTCAAATTTAAGATGTCGATTCGGTGTTCTTAAACACAAAATTAGTTCACTAAAAGAGAGGACTTTTGAAATCGTTGGCAAAATTGAATTCGAAAGCAATCAGAGCAATTCAAGTGCAATAAGAGAGCTTTTGAGAGAGTGGAGGAGGAGGGGAATTGGAACTTTGATGTGGCGAATAGGGGTGGAGTTGAGGCGGGTTTTGGCTAAATTTTACTCTGTCTCGTTAAAAATTTTTGTCATATCAACTTCACTCTAATTTCGGAACGAGTTTGTAATTAATATACTATCCCCGCCCTTACTTTAGTAAACAAAGTATCGACTCCGCCCCGCGTACTCTATTTAATTGCGGTGCGGGACGGGTTATGTCACTTTTATTATGTTTTAAAAAAAAATTTAGCCCAATGTGCTCAAATTGGGCTAATAAATAAGCTAGTCAAGCTTTTAAATTACTAAGTAGAATATTAATATATTAATGGATACCTCCAGCAAAGTAAGTTAATATACTTCCAGCAAAGTAACAAGGTTTTTAAAAATATTAAATATATATAAAAAATTTAAAAATACATAATTAATCGGGGCGGGAGCGGGGCAAGATCATCACTAAATTTACCCCCCTCCCAAACTCACTTCGAGTTTTTAATTATTTTATCATACCCTCCCCAGACTCATTTAGGAGGCTATCAAATCCGTCTCACTAAAGGTGGTGTTGGGTAGGGTGAAAACCCACCGGGTAGGAGGAATTTGCCATCCCTAATGGCGAAATAGAAAAAAATTGGTTCTCATGGCCCGGGCTTGACCTGGCCAAGCTGGCTGATTTTTAGGCCAAGTTGGCTAGGCCCGTCAGGCTTTGTGGGTCTAGATCTCATTCTCAGGCTCGACCCTCATAGATACTTGTTGAGCCGGCCTGGCCGTAGAGCCATCTCCAACGAGGCTGCGGATTGCCATTCCTGGTGCATGGATAATTGGAGCCATCTTTTTTTTTTTTTTTTTTGGGTAACGAATTGCTGCCATCTTCTTTGACTTGCCATCAACACTCTTTCTTAGAAATGTGATCACAACTTTGGTAAAAATAAAATTAAAAATAAAAATTTACTCCGTGTTTCTTATTTTTCTCTTGACTCTAGTATCAATGAGAAATGATACATTTTTCGAATTCAGAGAATGCCAATAGGGGTGGAGCCTGTGTGTGCCCAAGGAGGAATGTGGCCCGTATCCGTGAGAAATGATACATTTTTTGAATTTGGAGGATGCTGACAGGCATAGATAGTGTGTGCCCCCCTAAAATTATTAGTTTTCAAAACTCTTTAAAACTTTTTTTTCTATTTTTCCTCTTTTCCTCTTTAAATTTATTTAATTGCCTTTTTAAAAAGGTTAAATTTCTTTTGTTCAATCATGCTCTAATTTGTTTACTTCAAAATTCATTTTTCTTTCCCTCTTTCCCTTTTTCTTCTTCTTATTCTTATTTTATTAATTTTTTCTATATATATATATATATATATATATATATATATATTTGTCATTGTCAAGAAACACACACCTCACTCATACACCATTTTGCTCATTTGGAGACTCGAACTTTCACCATCCACTTTAAAAGTAGTAGAGGGGGCCACAAGGCCTCCGCTCCTGGTTGCCGAATAAAAAATTTGTAAATAAAATGTAATTCTTATCCCAACTCACACAACAATTCATCGACATCCGAATTGGAGATCGTGTGTTATCTTTTTCATATCCATTCCAGCCCTCTACTACCAAAATTTATCATTTGAAAAGTCCCATCATGTGAGAGCAATGGTCCATAAAAATTAGTTTGATCAATTCAAACTATAACTATTCTATGAATATTAATCTCTTTCTCTTGGAGGTCTCAATTTTTATCGACTTGGATAAACTTTTACAATGGTGATGGAATAACAAAGATTGTTATCAGAAACCTTGGTAGCACCGTAATAAAGTCACCTAGTTTTTTAAAATTTTGGAACCATTTGTGTTGAATGGGTTGTTATTTCTATGTAAATTTGTTTGACAAAGGAATTTCGAATTTTATTATAACAAGCTTGTAATCCGATCTGAAATAATAATAAAAAAAGTGAAATTTTGTTTTACATCCCATGGCTGCTCATTATTGGTTTATTGCACCAAAATCATTTTATTTTTGAGGATAATTGTTAGGGTTCTCGTCTCATATCGATTAGAGATGAACTTGATCTTATAAAGATCGGTAGACAATACCTTCTAATAACTTAATTTTTGAATCGGATGATGAACACTTGATCCACTACAAGTGATATCGAGCAAGCCTAGCCCCTTATTTGATGTGACCTTACTTAACTAGTTTCATTATTCAGAGAACACTCAACGATTCTTCTTATCATGCAGCTCTCCTTCAACTTTTGCAGTAAAACTTCACATATAGGGAGATAGTGATCCTCCTTTTTTTTACACAAATATTTCAGTCAATAATGTGAATTGTAAAAGTTGTTGGAAAAAGACGGGGGGATATTGTAGGAACCAATACCATTCATCGACCTCCACTAAAGCTGTGTTTGGTGTGCAAGTATAGAATAGAGTTGAATGCCATTCCAACTATTCATTTATTTAGTATATAATGTTGCTTTGGTGTGCAAGAATGGAATGGAATGGAATGTTCATTCCAACCATTCATTTGTTTAATATCAATTTAAAGTGTGAATGAAAATTAATTACGAAAAATGAAAATTCATTCCACAACTAAACTTCTAGAATGACCATTCTATTTCCAAATATATATTTTTTAAAAAATCAAGTTAAAAAAAAAACCCTCATGTTCTAAGTTCAAAAACTACCACCACCACGACTGCCATTGCCTTCCAACACTACCATCACCACCACCGCCGTCTTCCACCACAACCACTGCCGTCTTTTACCACCGCCATCTCCATTGCCTTTGACTACCATCACTACCACCGCCACCACACCGCACTGCCTCCATTGCCTTCAACCACTGCTACCACCACCGTCGCCACTACCACCAACTTCCACTACTACCACCTTTGACCACCGCAACCTCCATTGCTTTCCACCACCGTCATTGCCAACACTATCGTCACCATTACAACCACCACTACCACGCCGTCACCGGCCACCACCACACCACCGTCGCCTCCATTGCCTTCCATCACCACCACCTCCACCGCCGTTACCTCTACTGCCTTCCACCACTAACACCACCACCGTCACCTCCACTGCCTTCCACCACCACCACCACAACGCCACTACTGCATTCCACCACCACCACCTTCCACCATCATCGCCTACCCCACTGACACCTTCAACCACTCCCATCACTTCTTCTACCACCGCCACTGCTTACCACCGTCGCCACTGTCATCTGCCACCACCATCGCCTTCCACCATTGCCACCACTGCCGCCTTCCAACATCATCATCGACACCATTACCGCTTTCCACCTCCACCACCATTACCGCTTTCCACCTCCACCACCATCTAGCATGACCACAATTTCTTTTAAAAATATTACAGAAGAATGTTATTTTGTTAATTTAATTTATTTGTCACTAAGAGGGGCATTTTAGAGAATTCAATTTAAATTCACTCCATTTAAATTTTAAATTGGTCCAACCAAATACTAGAATGGTTATTATCATTCAATTCTTACACATTTCATATTTGCATCCAAACAATAGAATGAAAATGACCATTCTATTCCATTTCCATTCTCATTCGATTCCCATTTGTATTCCATTCCATTTCATTTCTGCACACCAAAAGCATTATAATTTAAAGTGAAAATGGCCATTCCATTGGAAACAAAATCCATTTTAGAGAATGAAAGTCTATTCCACAACAAAACCTATGGAATGGTCATTCCATTCCTAAGTAAATTTTTTGTAAAAAAATTTATTTTCCAAAAATCCCTCATGTTTTAAGTCGAAAAACCACCACCGTTGCCACCACCACTACCACTGCCACCACCACAACAACCACCGGCTTTCACCACTTCCATCTCTATTGCCTTCTACCACCACTACTGTCGTCTTCAACCACCATACTACCGCTGCCTCCACTACTACCTCCACCTCCACTGTTGCCACCACCATCACTAACTTACGCCATTGCCCTCGCTTTCCATCATTACCACCTTCAATTACCACCACCTCCATTGCCTTCCACTATCGTCATTTCCATCACCACCGTCACCATTACCGCCACCGCTGCCGCTATCACCACCACCACGGACGGAGCCAGTATAGGACCTGAATTTTTTCCTTCCCTTATTAGATATATATATATATATTTTCCTAGAATATGTATATATTTTTTTGAAAATGTGTAAAAATTCCCCCCTTCAAATTTCTCCTTCCCTTATATACTCTATATGTTTCTTTATTTTTTTTATTTTTTTTTTATTTTTTTTTATTTTTCTAAATTGTCTCATTATATTCTATATATGTAATTTATTAATTTACTCATTCCAAAAATATTAATCTCTATATATATGCACCTATTTCTCTTTATGTATATATACTCCATAAACACTAATTTATATGCATTAAGTGTACAATGTGCCCCCCTTGAACAAAAATTCTGGCTCCATCCCTAACCACCACCGTCACTACCACAGCTACCATTGTTGCCGCCTTCCATCACCACTACACCGTTGCTACCTCCATTACCTTCCACCACCGCCTCCACCATTGCCTTCCACCACCACCACTGCCTTCCATCACCGCTACCACCACTACCGCCACCGTTACCTCCAGTGCCTTCCACCATCATTGCCGTCATTATAACCGCTACCA